CACCACCGTCTTGGCCACCCCTCCTTGCCCCGTCTTCGGAGCATGGCTTCCCGTGTCCTTGTCTCTGGTCTTCCCCAGTCTCTCCCTCCTCTCCCCTCCGGGCCAGGACCTTCCTGTGTCCCCTGTGTCGAGGGTCGCCTCCGGGCTACTCCTCACTCCTCCCACTTCCCCCCGACAGAGGCTCCCCTGCAGACGCTTCACATGGATGTGTGGGGCCCAGCCCCCGTCCGTGGGCAGGGTTACGAGCGCTACTTCCTGTTGGTGGTTGACGACTACTCGCGTTACACCACAGTCCTCCCCTTGCGCAGCAAGGGTGCGGTCACTGAGGTGCTGATCGACTGGATCCACGAGGCTCGTTTCCAGCTCAGGAAGAGCTTCGGCTCGGACTTTCCTGTTCTGCGTCTGCACTCTGACAGAGGCGGAGAGTTCTCTTCTCGCCTTCTGCGAGACTACTGTCGTGCACGGGGGATCCGCCAGACCTTCACGCTTCCGGACTCACCACAGCAAAATGGGATTGCTGAGCGCCGCATTGGCATGGTCATGGATGTCGCTCGTACGTCCATGATGCATGCGGCTGCCCCCCATTTTCTGTGGCCGTTTGCGGTGAGGTACGCGGCGCATCAGCTCAACCTTCACCCCCGGGTCTCTCGGCCTGCGATGTCCCCAGCCTTGCTGTGGACGGGGAAGGTTGGCGATGCGTCTGTGTTCCGTGTCTGGGGATCTCGGGCGTTTGTCCGCGACTTGTCTGCGGACAAGCTGTCCCCTCGTGCTGCTCCCTGTGTCTTCCTTGGCTTCCCCACTGACGCCCGAGGGTGGCAGTTTTACCACCCCTCCTCTCGTCGTGTTCTGTCCTCCCAGGACGTCACGTTCGATGAGTCAGTCCCCTTCTACCGTCTCTTCCCCTACCGCACTCCTTCCCTCCCCCCTCCCCCGGACTTCCTTGTGCCAGTTCCCCCCCCGGTAGACCCCCTCCCCCCTCAGGTTCCTGCCCCCTCAGGTGTGTCCCAGGTAGACGCCGTTGACCCGGTCGAGGTTACTGGTGACTCTGGTGCTGCTGCGGGTGCTGAGCCTGGGGGTGCTGACTCTGGGGGTGCTGTGCGCGGGGGTGCTGAGCCTGGGGGTGCTACTGCTGGGGGTGCTGGGCCTGAGGGTGCTACTGCGGAGAGTGCGGAGCCTGGGGGTGCTGAGCTGGGGGGTGCTGTGCCTGGAGGTGCAGGGTCTGGGGGTGCTGGGTCGGGAGCTGCTGAGCCTGGGGGTGCTGTGCTGGGAGCTGCTGAGCCTGGGGGTGCTGCGTCTGGAGCTGCTGAGCCTGGGGTTTCTCCTGCTGCTGCGTCTCGCCGGGAGCCCCTCTCTCCACAAGAGCTGCGCGAGTGGTTCGCTCGCCACTGGAGGCGTGCTGCTGCGTCTGGAGGTGCTGCTGGAGCTGGAGCTGGAGCTTCTTCGACTGTCGAGGGTGCAGGTGCTGCCGGTCCCGGAGCTGCTGGACCTGCGGGTCCTCCTGGAGCTGGAGCTGCTGAGGGCGTTGGTGCTGAGCCTACTGCTGTTGGTCCTGCCGCTGGAGGTGTGGGTGGCGCTCGTGCTGTCGCTGAGGGTGGTGGTGCTGTCCCTGCTGAGTCTCGAGCTGCCGCGCGGCCTCGGCCGTACTTCGTTCCACTCCTGCAGCAGGTTCTTGGTCTTTCTCCTCCAGTAGAGGGTCCACCGCCTGTCCAGTCGCAGTCCCTGCTGGAGCTTTCCTCTCCACTGCCTGCTCCCTCTCCTTACACTGGTCCTACTGGAGGTCTTGCTGAGCGTCGTGAGCCTGCGTCTCGTCCCGCGTCGCCTGTTCGTGCTGCTCGCGCTAGTGGTCGCAGTTCGCGTCAGCGTCCTCCTCCTGTCCCTGGCACGCACCGGATGTCTTTGCGTCCGTCCACTGCTCCTCTGCGTGCCCCTTTGCCTTCTCCTCCTGAGTCCTCTCTTCCTGTGCTTGCCGACCCTGAGTCGGACTCTCTTCGTGCTGCCAGTCCTACTGTCACGCGTCTCCTTGCTACTGTCGTCACTGACCCCTCGTTTGAGTCCACTGCTGCGTCTGCCCTTGTCGCTGAGCTCGTCGACTTTGCTGCTCGCTGTCGTCTCGACTACGCTGCTAGTCTTGTTGCTGAGTCTGCGTCTGTCTCTCCTCCGTCCGTCAGGGGTGAGTGTGCTCTTGGCACGGACGTCCTTGAGGACAGGCAGGAGGAGTTACAGTGTCTAGCGGCTGCTTCACCTCATCTCGCGTCTGTACTGCTTGCCCCTGAGGGAGACCCGGATGCACTAGACATCCCGACTCCGCGTTCTTACGCGGAGGCCGTAGAGGGTCCCTACTCCTCTCAATGGCAGGCAGCTATGGATGCAGAGATGGCTTCCTGGAAGTCCACAGGCACCTACGTTGACGCGGTTCCCCCTCCTGGGGCGAACATCGTCAGTGGCATGTGGATCTTCAGGGTGAAGCGGCCGCCGGGCTCTCCACCTGTCTTCAAGGCACGGTACGTTGCTCGTGGCTTCAGTCAGCGACAGGGAGTTGACTACTTTCAGACCTTCTCTCCCACCCCGAAGATGACTACTCTTCGGGTTCTGCTGCACATAGCCGCTCAGCGCGACTACGAGCTTCACTCTCTCGACTTCAGCACTGCGTTCTTGCAGGGTAGCCTGCACGAGGAGATCTGGCTTCGCCGTCCACCTGGCTTCACTGGGACTTTCCCTCCTGGCACCCAGTGGAGCCTCCGACGGCCAGTCTACGGTCTCCGCCAGGCACCGCGTGAGTGGCACGACACACTGAGGACTACGCTTGCGGCTCTTGGGTTTGCTCCTTCTACTGCCGACCCGTCGCTGTTTCTTCGCACCGACACTTCCCTGCCGCCGTTCTACATCCTCGTGTACGTCGACGACTTGGTCTTTGCCACAGCGGACACTGCTGGACTCGCCTACGTGAAGTCCGAGCTGCTGAAGAGACACACGTGCACAGACCTGGGTGAACTGCGCAGCTACCTTGGCTTGCAGATCACTCGGGACAGAGCACGCCGCACCATTACCTTGACTCAGTCACACATGGTGCAGCAGGTCCTTCAGCGCTTCGGCTTCACGTACTCCTCGCCTCAGGCCACTCCTCTGCCTACTCGCCACTCACTCTCAGCTCTGCCTTCGGATGAGTCCGTAGAGTCGAGTGGTCCGTATGCAGAGCTTGTTGGCTGCCTCATGTACCTGATGACCTGCACACGACCTGACCTTGCATACCCTCTGAGCATTCTTGCACGTTATGTTGCTCCTGGGAGACACAGACCGGAGCACATGGCTGCAGCGAAGAGGGTATTGCGCTACCTGTGCAGTACGTCGGGCATGGGGCTAGTGCTTGGAGGGCGGAGTCCAGTGGTCCTTACCGGCCACGCGGACGCTTCTTGGGCTGACGACCAGGCTACGCAGCGGTCGTCACAGGGTTACACCTTCAGCCTTGGTTCCGGCTCTGTCTCGTGGCGGTCTACTCGCTCGTCTTCGGTTCTCGGCTCCAGTTGTGAGGCTGAGATCTACGCCGGGGCCATGGCTGTACAGGAGCTTCGCTGGCTCACCTACCTGCTGACTGACCTTGGAGAGCCGCCTCGTTCTCCTCCAGTGCTGTACGTAGACAACAAGGCTATGCTGGCCTTGTGTCGAGAGCAGCGCTTGGAGCACAGAACGAAGCACATTGCTCTCCGCTACTTCCTTGCTCGTGAGCTGCAGCAGCGTGGTCAGTTGCAACTTGCGTACGTGGCCTCTGAGGCCAACACTGCTGATGTGTTCACCAAGGCACTCGCGCCTTGTGACCATCAGCGCTTTTGCACCCAGCTGGGTCTTGTGCCTGTCTTGCCTCACTTGCTCTCCTCTTGACTTCACTTGTACTGTGACATATATATATGCCTGCTCTTGTTTGTCTAGTTTTATATATATGTCTGTACTCCTGCATGTGAACTGGCCTCTGGCCCTACTCTTGTGCTCGGACTGTGTGGTGACTTTGTGATCCACCCTGAGCTTGCTTTGCTTTGCTTGACTGGTCTTGTGACCCCTTGTTCTCCCCCACTTTGCCTATGGGGGTGTGTCAGATTTATATGACATAGTTGCTGTAGGCTATAGTGGGGTAGCACATATGGGGTACAGGGTTTCTAGGGTTGTATTTGTACCCAATCTTTCCTTAGTCATTTCATTCCTGTTTTCTTTTCTCCACAGCTATGGCCGTAGAAGTTCCACTTGCAGCTGTTGTTGCGCCTGTCTCCCACTGGGTCTGGTCCACATTTGTGGATGCGGCCCACATTACAGACAACGTGGCGGCAAGTCCGACTACGTGTTCTTCCGTCGAATAGCCGTTTTCACCCTCCACGCCTCCCACCATCTTCTCCCACGCAGTTATTCCGACACCAGCGCAGACAGCTACCTGAAAGCCATCCTCCTGCTGCTGCCGAAGAGCCGTGTTAGTTTGAACGAGTGAGAATCTGCACAAGACACCAGTGTCGCAAGATCAGAACCATCGAACTTCGCGGGTGTTTAGAAGTTGCAACTGTCCATCACATAAACACTCACCCGTCCGGTTTGTCCAGGTGGAGTTTGTTGATGACGCTCCACACCCCTGTTGGAAGCCACGTTGTGAAGTCGAGGTCTTCCCGCCACTTGTTAATACGGTTTGGATTCATGCCGTATGCCTACATGTCAATATCCGGGAAGTAGAACTTCCAGCAAACTGCGACCGTGTATGCCCTCTCCCACACCGTTTTGTGAGAGCCGAGGTTCCGCTTCCGGCCGCCGACGGTCTGCTCAGACGTCCACTTCTGCAAAGCTCCCTCGCCCTATTGAGAGAACCCGCTTCCGTTGAATGGCAGGCAGACACCCAAAGTCTTACCCTTGTCGTCCACTACGACGTTTTTCCTGTTGTCACACTTGTCGATCTTCATCCCTTTCTTTTCCCCTAGGATTATCGGTATCAACTCCTGTATACCAGCTGCACGCCGTCTCTTAGCCGCATGACCCTTCGGCTCCCTGTCCTCCTGTCTAGGCCGCCTCCTGGACACCTCTACGTTCTGTCCAGGAACAATAGCCACGCCCTCTGCTACATTCGCCTCCCCGCTCTCAATCAACAGCAAACTCCCCAGGCCCTCAGCTATTTCCTCCTCGACTCCCTTCCAGGTCCCCTCCCCCTGCATGGTCAAATCCTCCTCTTCCATCTCCCTTGCCAATCGTTCCGTCTCTTCAGCCATCGCCTTTGCCTTTGCCTCCAGTTGCCGCTGCTGTTCCGCGTAGGATGCAAGTCTGGCCCTCTTCTCTGCTCGGCACTGCTCCGCCTTCTCAGGCGCTCCATCTCCTAGTGTTTCGCCCTCTGCCGCTGCTCGGCCTCCTCTGCCTCCTTCTTCTACAGGCACTCCATCTCCTGCTGTTTCGCCTGCTGCTGCCGCTTGGCCTCCTCTGCCTCCTTCTGCGCCTCCTCCTTCTGCAGGCGCTCCATCTCCTGCTGTTTCACCCGCTGCTGCCGCTTGGCCTCCTCTGCCTCCTTCTTCTGCGCCTCCTCCTTCTGCAGGCGCTCCATCTCCTGCTGTTACGCCCGCTGCTGCCGCTCGGCCTCCTCTGCCTCCTTCTTCTGCGCCTCCTCCTTCTGTAGGCGGTCCAATTCCTGCTGTTTCGCCCTCTAACGCCACTCTACCTCCTCTGCCTCCTTCCTGTGCCTCTCCTCCTTCTGCAGGCGCGCCATCTCCTGCTGTTTTTCCCTCTCCTGCCTCCCGGCCTCCTCATCTTTCCGCTGCGCCTCCTCCTTCTGCAGGCGCGCCATCTCCTGCTGTTTCTCCCTCTCCACCCGCTCTGCTTCCTCTACCTCCTTCCTCTGCGCCTCCTCATTTTGCTGGTGCTCCTTCTCTTGTTGTTTCTCCCTTTCCTCTCGATCGTCCTCCTCAGCCTCCTTCCTCTGTGTGAAAGTTCTTAGTAGGAAGGCTTAGGAGCCATGGCAAGTTGGGTAGGAGAGGTTGAGTTCGAGTGAGTTTAGGTGAGTAGGAAGATTGCAACAAAAGAGGAGATTCACTATAGAGCGAATAGTACAAATAGGCAAGAATGAAGAAAGGTGCACCACCAAACAGAAAGTTATATAACTACAGTAGTCTACACTACAGGCACTTACAAAACAATATATAGAATTATATATTATTCTGACACGCCCCCATAAGTGCCTGTAGGGAAGAATGTGCAGTCAACGCCCCCATAATGGGGTACACCAGACAGGCCGCAGCGGAAATCATAGCAACAGGCAAGTGCAGTGGCAACCGGTGAAGTGATGGCAGATCCAGCTGTACCAACCCCTTTACCAAGGTAAAAATAGTAGCAGGTGTTGGGGCGGCAGGTCGCCTGAGGAGCAGGCTCTGTGGCTGCAACAAGCAGCAGGACAGCAGCGGCTCGACGGCAGCACCTGCAGGCCCCAGCATTAGGTAGCAGAAGCAAAGACAGCAAAAGGAAGGTGGTAGCAGGGGCGGCAGCTGGAGGTGCCACGGCATCAGCGGGCGACAGCAGCAGATGACCGGCTGACTTTCGTCGCCCCCTCACTCCCCCCCCCACAGCGGCACGTGCTGCAGTGAGAGAGAGAGGAGGGGCGGCAGCTTCTTGCTCACACCCGCCACCCCAAATCCTCCCACCCACACTGCTGCACGCGCAGCAGGGAGAGAGAAGGGACGGCGTGTGGCGGCGTAGTGGTGTGGCGCAGCAGCGAACAGAGCGGCGACAGCCACCCTCGCGTCTCTCCTCCCCCCACTCCGCCACCTCCTCCCACGGCGGAAGTCGCGGCGTCGAGAAGCGAGGCGCCCACGGCGACGGGAAGCGGGCGCCCGCGACGACGGAAAGCGGAGCGCCCGCACCGACGCGCAGCGGGGCTCCCGCGGCGTCGCGAAGCGGGGTCACGATGAGTGCCTTGACGAGCGCCTCGACAAGCGCGACGGGTGTTGCGACGTGAACCGTGACGGGGAGCGCCATGGCTAGCGGTGGGCCCATTAATACGAAATTGTCAGCGGGAACGAACAGCTCTGATAGCATGTGAAAGTTCTTAGTAGGAAGACTTAGGAGCCATGGCAAGTTGGGTAGGAGAGGTTGAGTTCGAGTGAGTTTAGGTGAGTAGGAAGATTGCAACAAAAGAGGAGATTCACTATAGAGCGAGCAGTACAAATAGGCAAGAATGAAGAAAGGTGCACCACCAAACAGAAAGTTATATAACTACAGTAGTCTACACTACAGGCAGTTACAAAACAATATATAGAATTATATATTATTCTGACACTCTGCGCATCCTCCTTCTGTCGCCGATCTCCCTCCGTTGCCTTCCTACCCTGCTCCTCCTTTTGCCGCCACTCTGCGTCCAATCTCAGAACTACTGACAGCCGCTTTTCCACCTCACTTAGCATCCCCTCCTTCCACCCCTTCATCCCCGTCTTCATCTCCTTCACAGCCTCCATCACTTCCTTCATTCTTGCCTCCACCTCCTTCTGCCGTCGCTCTTCCTCCTGATGTTTCTTCTTCCTCCGCCGCTTTGTGGCCTCTACATCCTTCCTCTTCTCCTCCTCCTCGTTCCGCCATTGCTCGTCCAGTTGTTTCTTCTTCTGTCTCTCCTTGTCGTCCGCCACTTGTTTCCTCTTCGCGTCCTGCTGTTGTCACCGCTCCGCGTCCTCTTGCCTCGCCTTCTTCTGCCGCTCGGATTCTTCTCGCAAAACCGCGCTCAACCTCCCCACAATCTGGTTTACCATCCCATCCTTCATCTCCTTCATTTCTGCCTTCATCTCCTTCATCATCGCCTCCTTCATCTCCTTCATTCCCTCTCTCATCTCCTTCTGCCGACGCTCTTCCTCATGCTGTTGTTCCTTCTTCCGTCTCTCTGCGGCGTCTGCTTCCTTCCTCGTGGCCTTCTGCCTCCGCTCCTCGTCCTGCAGTCTATCCCTGTTCCGCCGCTCAAAGTCTTCTCTCAGAACCTCTCTCAACCTCTCTTCCACCCCCTTTAACGTGCCCTCCGCCATCCCCCCTCCCGACTGGCGAACCTGATCACTCACCCTTATGATACTCTCCTGCAAGTTGGAGAGTCTCGTGTCCACCTGCTCGCAAAACCTGGCCGCCGTTTCAGCTTGGCGCCGCCGTTCCTCGTTTCCATGGCGGACTTCTTCCAGGTTGGTCAGGGCGTCGCGGCAGTAATGGACGGTCAGATCGGCCACATCGCGACTGATGCTGCTGTTGCGGGCCGCCAAGTTGCAGAACGTCTGCGTCACCATTCGGGCTAAGAGCGTCAGACGACGCGTTACCTCTGCCGGGCTTATGTCCCAGATTTCGGCCACGACGAACCTGTCACCTTGTTCGACCAGGACTGTACTCGTCCGATGCAGCATCTGTCAGTAGATCTGCACTGTGGATGCCCGATTGATCCTGGAGAGGGTTACAGACGCGTTCGCCTGGGGGGTTATGGGCGCACTGACCCGCTACTGAAACAAGCTCTTTTATCCCAATGGTCTAGTGGTTGGGATTCTGACATGGTATCAGAGCGGTCTCGGGTTCGTATCCCGGTGTATGCACATATAGGCCGTTGCCGCTGTGCTTAGTCCTGGGTCTTCCAGTGTGGGGGGGTGTCAGTAGATCTGCACTATGGATGCCCGATTGATCCTGGAGAGGGTTACAGGCGCGTTCGCCTGGGGGGTTATGGGCACACTGACCCGCTACTGAAACAAGCCCTTATATCCCAATGGTCTAGTGGTTGGGATTCTGACAGCATCCGCCGTATTGCCGTCTCTGCCTCGACCCACACTACCTGCCAAAACGCTTCTGCCACCCCGCCTTGGCCGAGATTCCTCTCCACTGCTCTCTGGTGAAGGGTAGGCCACCTCTGCCTGTTGAGATCCACTGTATCCCTAGGCGCCCCATCGTTTGCCACCCTCCATGGCCCCTCTACCCCAGTTCCTGGTCCCCGCGTCGGACTTCCTCCCAAAAATATCGGACTGTCGAATGTACCGTATCCTCCTCATTCTGCTCCTCTTCTGTTTCCAGCACATCTCCCTCGTAGTGCCCCACTCCAGCCTCCGGGACCACACAAACCTCCTCCATAGTATTTTGACACTCTGTCTCTGCCATGCTCTGCGTCTCTTGGTATGCGAATACCTGCGACGCTACCTCCTCGTCATGCTGCCCCTCTTCCTCTGCGATGATGTGCCCCTCAGCACCCGCCGTCTCCCGTCCCTCTGTGTGTATAAATTTATTCCCATCTGAACCATCCTCTCCATCTGGCTTCCTACGTGCGTCTGCCTCAGCCTGCTTCTGCTCCTCGGCCTCTGCCATCTTCTGCGCCTCACCCTCCGCCTTCTGCCGCGCCTCTACAACAGCCTTCTTCTGCGCTTCTGCTCGAGCCAGTTGTAGCGCCTCTTCCGCAGCCTGTTTCTGCTCCTCTGCCTCCGCCTTCTGCTGCGCCGCTGCTTCTGCCTTATTCTGCGCCTCTCCTTCCTTATGTGCGTCTGCCTCCTCCATATGCAGTGCCGCTGCCTTATCCTTCTGCCTCGCTGCTGCCTCTGATTCCTTGTGTGCCTCTGCCTCAACCATCTTTGGCGCTGCACCCTCCTCCTTCTGCTGCGCCGCTGCCTCTGATTCCTTGTGCGCCTCTGCCTCAACCATCTTCGGCGCCGCACCCTCCTCTTTTTGCTGCGCCGCTGCTTCTGATTCCTTGTGCGCCTCTGCCTCAAACATCTTCGGCGCCGCACCCTCCTCCTTCTGCTGCGCCGCTGCCTCTGATTCCTTGTGCGCCTCTGCCTCAACCATCTTTGGCGCCGCACCCTCCTCCTTCTGCTGCGCCGCTGCCTCTGATTCCTTGTGCGCCTCTGCCTCAACCATCTTCGGCGCCGCACCCTCCTCCTTCTGCTGCGCCGCTGCCTCTGATTCCTTGTGCGCCTCTGCCTCAACCATCTTCGGCGCCGCACCCTCCTCCTTCTGCTGCGCCGCTGCCTCTGATTCCTTGTGCGCCTCTGCCTCAACCATCTTCGGCGCCGCACCCTCCTCCTTCTGCTGTGCCGCTGCCTCTGATTCCTTCTGCGCCTCTGCCTCAACCATCCTGGGCGCCGCACCCTTATCCTTCTGCTGTTGCTGCTTATTCCTTATGTGCGTCTGCCTCATCATTCTGCTGCGCCGCTGCCTCATCCTTCTGGCTCGCTGTTGCCTCTGATTCCTTCTTCGCCATTGCCTCCACCACCTGCAGCTCGACTGCCTCCGACGTCAGCTCTGCTGCTGCACCCGCTTCTTTACGTGCGACTGCCTCCGCACTCTTGACCGCCTCTGCACCCACCTTCTGCTGCGCTGCAGCCTCTGCTTCCTTTGGCGCCCCGTCCTCTGCCGTAAGTGCCGCCTCTGCATCGACAAACCGATGGACCGCATCCTCTGCATTCTGGTGCGCCTCTACCTCGGCCATCTTATGAGCCTTTGCACCCGCATTGCTCTGCGCCTCCTTTTTTGCCTCTCCCGAATTCTCTGGCACGTCGACGTCCCCTCTCCGGGCCTCTTCAGCCGCCTTCCGCTTTACGCTGGGCAAGCGAACTTTCACGTATCCCCCATCCTCCTTGATATGCTGCCGCACATTGCTGGCGAGATCCTCTCCTGCCTCTCCCACGTGTGCCCTTGCAGCGGCTCGTGCCCCACGCTCCCATGCTTCACGTATGTCTCCAGTTCTCGGGAAAGAGACGGTAGGATCGGTGTCGCCATCACGGCGTCGTTGCCTCTCTTCAGCCTGTCTCCTCTTGGCTTCTACTTCGGCCATCCGCTTATCATCAGCCGCCTTCCTCCACTGCTCCTCTGCCTGTTCGACCTGACTTGGCAGCTGTGGATCTTCTACACCCTCCTCGCCTTCATCTGCTACACTTGCCAGGTCGGTCTCCGTCCGTGCTTCGCGTTCCGGCGGCCTCCTAACCCGATCAGCAAACCTGAGCTGCCTAACTCCAGACCTAACACGCTCGTCCGCACGGGCTAACCTTGATGTCGGGTCACTCAGTAGTGCACCCCCCGGTGCAGGTCGGCGGGAATATGAAATTTCCCCTACTCTTGGATTTGCATCCCGGTTTGCGGCAGGTACGTCTCTCTGTCCCTCTACCGCTTCGGATCTGTTCTGTGCCGCCGGCTCCATGGTATTCCCGGACCGTTCCGGTGCGCTCTCCACCACTCAAGCCTCATGGGTCATCATGACTGCATCCGGGGCGGGACGGAGCTGGACTCCTTGCAGGTCGAAGAAGGCCCTGCAGGTCGACTCTAGCATACTCCGAATTTCTTTCCCGCTGTTTTTCCCCTTCCCTAAGGCGATCATCGGCTCTACAATTTGAATCGCCATGACATCCCCCCATTTGTCCAGCAACTTGCTGAACAGATGGGTAACGTGCAGCCCGGAACCCACTTGCCTGTGTCCCTGAACCTTGTTGATCTGCAATATGTGAGTGAAATAGTTGGTTGTCAGACACTCCCGTAACTTTTTACAAGCTTAATATCATACAACGCTTAAATCATAAAAATAGAGGCTCCTTACCCTGCCTTCCTCTAGAATCAGTTCCTCTAGGCGATCCCTCAAATCTTTCTGCACCGCTTCGGCGTGGCTGCCAGAGACCTTGTGACCTCGGCTGCATTCCACATCTAGTTGTCGAATAAGCCAGCTGCAGGGCAAGGGGGTCGCAAATAATCAATAACATGCGTCCATACAAACCGCACATCTGGTTAAGGAGTGACACTTACTCGAACACCTCCTTGGCATGGTCGCTGTGGCGATGGGTTGGGATTGGAGATTTAGGGTCGAAGTGTAGCACACGCGTACGGTACTCTCCGCGGGGATGTGCAAATAAATCTTGCGGGTTCATCAGCACCATGAGACTGATCGCCGTCGAGTGAACAACAGGGACTCTGCGGTACATCGAAGTTTGGATTATCAAGATAAGCTGGTGTCATCGACAGACGTTGCGGATCCATGTCAAGAAACTCACTCTGATATCATGGGTATTAAAACCATCTGGTAGTCCAACAGCGACCGATGTTCGCTGCCACAACTAGGGACACGCGGGACGGCAGACCTCAAACGCCGATGCCCGGTAGGAGCCAGAATCTTTATGTCCCTGCAAACGCGAGGATCCCCAATCTTGTCCTTGGCAACCTCCCTGCATCCAAGCCGACATGTCGCAGAGGTGCAGGTGTGTGTCTAAAAATACAAGGGTTTAACGTGCCGATGAAGTCGGCGTGCGGTACAAACCGCACTTGGATACATACACAAGGCCGAAAAGTAACAACGCCTCGTTCCACTCTTCCTGACGAGCGACTAACATTTCATAAGACTCCCGCCCTAGTCGTACAGACAATCCGCACCCATCTGTGATTAACTGGGACGACATCGTGTAAGTATGCCAGAAGATGGCAAGTAGCTATACGGTTACTACCATACACTGTCCGCCTGCAGGATTTGAGGCCGACACTAGAATGAGAGGGAAGCTTGTGAGGAGGCTAGTTGTGGAACCAAGACTCAGATTGGAATGGCGAGAATGACCTTGAGCTTTGGTGCACCCACCCTTATAACAACTTTTGCTTCGCTGGTAGAATTGGTTGTGCTCTCGTCCTCATAGAAGGTGGGAAAGGCTTTGCTACAAACGCCAGGCCTAGTAAGACTTTTATGCCCCCTACATCAAAATATTAGGCTTCTCACCATTTCCCTTCGAACATCTGCGAACTACTGTTTGAATCCTTCTGCAGTGATTGGCCTATTTGTCGCCAGATTGTTCTCCTAAATGTTCTACTTCAGTTGCTGGTTGGTTGATTGCCAACCTTATATGCCATTTAAGCAAATTGCATGTCCTGCGGTGCATTGCATGGTCTCACCTTTGCCTCGACCTAGTACGAAATGGTGACGGGCAACCCCTTAAAAAAAAAAAAAGGTGTCCTGTGACAGGTTCATGACAGGCTGCCACGTATAACAATCCCATCCGCATGGTTCCCTCCGCAAATTGGAAATAGAGCAGTCTCTGCGACCTGTCACACGTGTCAGAAATCGAATGACCGTGTACATCCCACAATACCGCTATAGGGGTACTCGCGTAGCACGTACAGTGCTAGTTTTTGTAACCCATAAAACAAACACAAGCATGAACTTTGTATTATTAGCACACCCAATTCTAAAACAGATAATCCTATAAGTGTGAGATGAGTGCCCTATCAATAAGGGCTCATTAGCACTCGTATAACAATGGCATTTAAATACAAAACAAATGTTGTACATTTCAACAAAGTGATCTGCTCCCGCCTGCAGAGAAGAGCATGAAAAACATATCAAACCTCTACGAAATGAGGTGAATTTCAGAGGGGAGTCTGGAATATGTGTGATGAGAGTCCCCTATGAAAACCAGATCATTTGCCCAAGGTTAAGTGGTGATTTCAATTGCAACCTGATTCCAGGCAATTATGCACAGAATTCTGCAGACTGCTGCACAACAAGGCTTAAAAACCATATCAAACCTTGGGCAAATGAGATGAATTTCCGAGGGGAGTCTTGAATATGTGTGATGAGAGTCCCCTATAAACATCAGCTCATTTTCCCAAGGATAAGTGGGTGATTTCAGTTGCAACCTGATTTAAGGCAATTCTGCACATAATTCTGCAGACTGCTGCACAACAAGGCTTAAAAAACCATATCAAACCTTGGGAAAATAAGATGAATTTAACAGGGGAGTCTGGAATATGTGTGATGAGAGTCCCCTATAAAAATCAGCTTATTTGCATAAGAATAAGTGGGTTATTTCAGTTGCAACCTGATTCAAGGCAATTCTGCACAAAATTCTGCAGCCTGCTGCACAACAAGGCTTAAAAACCATATCAAACCTTGGGGAAATAAGATGAATTTCACAGGGGAGTCTGGAATATGTGTGATGAGATTCCCCTATAAAAATCAGCTCATTTGCCTAAGAATAAGTGGGTGATTTCAGTTGCAACCTGATTCAAGGCAATTCTGCACAGAATTCTGCAGACTGCTGCACAACAAGGCTTAGAAAATCAGAGGGAGGTCTGTGATATGTGTGATGAGTGTCCCCTATGAAAATCAGATCATTTTCCCAAGGCAAAGTGGTTGATTTTACAAGAAAAATGGTTCCAGGCATTTCTGCACAGAATTCTGCACCCGCCTGCATAATATAACATGAGAAGCATGGCAAACCTTGATGGAATGAAGTGAAAACTGGATGGGGATCCGGAATAGGTGTGATGACAGTGCCCTATCAAAATGGACTCATTTGCCCAAGGAGAAGTGGGTGATTTCACCTGACACATCACACTAGGCAACTCAGCACTAACTTCCTTGCAAGAAAAAGTCCACCAAATCAGTTTGCATAGAGCTGAAAATTTTCAGGGGGGCTGGAACAGGTGTCATAACACTAACAATGCAAAAAAATATGGTCACCACATAACACATGTGTGTGATGCCCAGAGAATGACTTTACATGTGCTATGAGCAACCTTAGTTGACCCAAAGGTGACAAAATGCAACAAATTTGACAAAATAACAAACCCATGCCCGCTGGTAGAGGACATCAAGGAGATGCTGGAAATCCATATTTCTGTGCAAATGACCAATAAATTATGGAGTTATGAGCCAAACCAAATAGAATTTTGACTTAGCCGTTTTGACATTCTGCTTGTCAGAATTACACCCAAGAGTCAACAACAAAGTTTATTGTTACGAGTGCAATTGAGTGAACGAACGAGAATTGCATTATCGAAGAAAGAGTACAATGAGCGAAGGCATGAGCAAAGAATATATAGCGAAAATACAGTGGTAACGGTAATGGACTGTGTTTGTCGCGCAACGGGCCTGGGACTGTGGTTGGGAAAAAGTGTCGAAGCGGAGGCCCGGAGCGCGGGTTACTCGCCGAGCCGTGAGGTCGGGGTGAGATGTGCGAAGGTGGCGGGCGGATTGTCGATGTGAGGGTTGCGAGTGGTAACGGTGCTGACTGTGGTGCTACAGTGATGTACGCGTTGAGCAGGGATGCGAAGTAAGGAAAAGGAATTTTCCTTACACTACCCCACCTCCTAAGGAGGTCCTCCTTACGAAAGTGCGTGTACATCCCTGAAATTTTGGCTGCCCAGATACTCGGTGAGGAAGGGGTGGTTTTCAATTCTGTCCAGGGGAACCCAATTGTCTTCGGTGGGTGTACGTGTCAAACATTATATATGTTGTGCTTGTTTAGGCTATAGTGGGTTAGCCTATAGGGGGTACACAATTCTAGGGTTAGGTACTTGTACTCATTTCACTGTTAGTTCATTCATTCCTGTTCAGTGATTCTAACGTGGTATAGAGCAGGTCCTTCCTAGGACCGAAATTTTTAAGGGCCCACCACTACCTACCTACCTACCTACCTACTTGCGCCCTAGGGCGCCTCAGCTTTGTCACGCCCCTAGAGGCCCCCCTTGACGGCCCCGTGCGTACCTACCTAGCGGCCCCTAACAGCCTAGTCGGCCCCTAGAGGCCCCGTTAGGGCCCCGTCGGCCCCTCGCTAGCCCCGTTCAGGCCCCGTCGGCCCCGCGCTAGCCCAGTTCAGGCCCCATCGGCCCCGCGCTAGCCCCGTTCAGGCCCCGTCGGCCCCACGCCCGCTGTCCCTAGAGGCACCGTCAGCCCCGTTCACGCCCTGTCGGCCCCGCGCTAGCCCCGTTCAGGCCCCGTCGGCCCCACGCCCGCTATCCCTAGAGGCCCCGTTCAGGCCCCGTCGGCCCCGCGCTAGCCCCGTTTAGGCCCCGATCGGCCCCGCGCTCGCCTCTCTAGGACCCCAAAGAGTCCCGCCGCAGCCCGCGACCAAACCGAGCCGCGCGACCCAAGCCGGGCGCCCCGAGCCGAGCCTCGCGACGCGAGCCGCGCGCCCCGAGCCGAGCCGCGCGACCGAGCCGAACCGCACGACCCGACCCGAACCGAGCCGCGCCGCCCTGCCCTAATTGATCCGTCCTAACTGCTTCTCCTACTACTACTGCTGCTATTTCTGCTGTTCCTATGGCTAGCCCACAGGTTCTCGTGTTCGATGCTGAGGGCCGCCCTGTGAAGTTTGACACCTGGCTCGATGACTTGCACCTCTACCTACAGCTCACAGCCAAGGATGACATCTCACTGTACGATCACGCCCTAGGCCATGTCACTGCCCCTGCTGCTACTGCTGACAGCACTGCTCGCTCACAGTGGCAGACTCGTGATGCCCACGCTCGCTTCGCTATTCGCAACTCCATGTCGATAGACGAACGCGAGCACTTTGGCCAGCACAAGACTGCACAGGCACTGTACACAGCTGTAGTTGTTCGCTACTCCTCACCTGCCTCTGCCGCACTAGGCCGTCTCTCTCTCCCCTACCTGTTTCCCGACCTGGCCTCTTTTCACACAGTCGCTGACCTCATTACACACCTCCGTACTAGTGAGGCCCGCTTCTGTGCCGCCATGCCTGCTGAGTTCCTTGCCACGCACCCCCCTCCACTCTGGCTCACTCTCTACCACCTAGTCACCCGCCTCCCTGACACACTGCGTGCTGTCAGGGACCACTTCCTAGCTCGCTGCCCCACTGAGCTCACCATTGCCCTCCTTGAGAAGGAGCTACTTGCAGCCGAGACTAGCATAGTCGCAGTAGGTGCCTCTCGTGGCGACCCTCGTACCCCGTTCTTTGAGGGATGTTCTCCTTCCCCCCTTCTTCCCTCTGTCGCCTCTGCTGCTGTTGTCGACCTTCTTGGTGCTGAGAAGGTCGGCACTGCGTCTGCCTCTATAGCGCGCCGCAGCGGCAAGGGCAAAGGAGGCAAGGGTGGTGGCGGTGACAGCGGGGGAGGCGGCGGTGGGAGCAGTGGAGGCGGTGGG